GATATATGGTATAAAGTTATTGATACTAGTCAAAATTAAGAAATTTTGCATGCTAAATGGCATGCTAAATTTATCAATTTGACTAGTATAAGAATAGTAATATTTTGATATATATAATTAGGCTTACTTCAATGATTCTGAATTTATTTCTATATCACCTTGTTCAACTGATAATGCTGACGATTTTGTTGTTTTGTTACGATTTGGTTCTATATGAGCTACAGATGTTCCGCTTAAGTCTTGAAGTGCTGTTTCAATATTTGTTCCATCGGTAAGTTCACATCCAATTCTGACATATCTCTTAATTGCATGTGCAATCTATAATTAACATCAAACTTATTAGTAGAGCACAATAAATCAAAATATGAGTACCGTCAAGGGAAAACTTGTCATCGGGATTTCAATTATATTTTGTACTGGACACAATTCTTAATAAATTAGATAGATTGTATTCAGTACGGAATAATAATTGAAATCCCGATGACAGGTTTTTCCTTGATGGTACTCATATAATATCAAATCTACTTGCTGTTGCATGGTGAGAATCAACTGTGGTTTTCGCTTCTCCTGGCTCAAGAAAAATCCACCCGCGTACTTCTACATCATACCAACTATACCAATGACTAATAATCGCCATTAACTCCGAATTGTGATAGTGTCCTCCATTATCTGAAATGATTTTGATCCATTGTGGTTTGGGATCCATTGTCATGAATACTGCCTCAAAACACGACGCCGTGAACCAAGCATCTTGTTTGGTATCGGAACTCCAATGGTCATAAGCCTGAACATCTAATTTTTCATCATTATCCTTATCCTTTTGAAACACCAAGGTCGTATGGAGCGTCCATCCACGCTTTCCAAAAAATTGACTCTTTGTTTCCCGAGCCGTTGCGGGTAAAATTCGCATTTTGTAATCAACCACGATAACTGCACCATTATTATCTAACTCACGTAATGTGGAATTGAACTGAGCATTTAGGTACTTTTTACGAGTTTGATGTGCCAAATAACATGACAATCGTTTTTGGCATTCTAAGATCTCATCATGATAGGTTATATCATGTTTACTTAAAAGATCTTCGAACAGATTAAAAAATCTATCACATTCTTGACATCGTAAAAAATGTTGCTCTTTACATTCACCAAAGGCAAATAATAGACAATGATTGATACAGTTTGTATGACTAGCCGTACCATTCTCGTTCACAACCAATTCTTCTTCATAATACCGTTTTAGGTGACGGCGTAGCAATTCTATTTCATGAATCAAGCCATTCTACAAAAAATTTTAGATTTTATGTCAATATCCCGAACATCAAAATCCTGATGGTACTAAATTCCGATGTACTAAATCCCGAAAGAACAAAATCCCGAAAGACTAAATCCTGAAAACAAAAAAAAAAATCCTAAAAATTCATAATTATGAATTTTTATTTCAGGATTTAGTCTTTCGGGATTTTGTTCTTTCGGGATTTAGTATATCGGGATTTAGTACCATCGGGATCTTGGTATTCGGGATATTGTTACAAAATCAAATTTTTATATTAATAAGGTTATAAGATTATTATTTTTTTTTATCTGGCTTACCTGCAAATTTTTATTAGAAATATTTTTATTAATTATATCGATTATATTTTCGAAGGGTTGGTATCCGTAATCATTACATGTTATGCATAATCCACCCAAATCTTCTCTATATTGAAAACGACTGTTTTGTAGACGTGCCATAAAAGAAGTGCGCTTCATCCCATCAGGATAAATAGCAGAAAACTTTTCCCAAAGCGCACTCTTTTGATCTTTCAAGTAAAGAATAGGTAAATTTGTATTTGTATCGACTTTATAAGAGCTCATATTCACATTTTCTTTATCGTTAAAAAATAATTTGAACTCTTTCTCTTTGACCTCTGACATTTTTGAACGAGTAATTGTGGGCTTTTCTAATGCAGCACACCCAGGCCCATTAATACGAGAAAATTTTCGTGCCGCATTAATAGTATTAGGAGATACCTAAGTTATGTTTAATTAATATCATTGTCTTTTATATTTTATATTTGAACAATAATACAAGATTTCTTACTGTTAATTCATTCATTATTTCTTGATATGTAAATTTTTCTGCAATTATTGATAGTATACGCACTTTACCGTCTGCTCCTCTAAAATTGGCATCATAACTATCACGAAAGCAGTCCCAAAATGTCTTAATAGTTAAGTTCTGTGACGATACATTCAGCATTCCTCCTTCATATAAATTCTTAAGTGTAGCACGGTCTTTTTCGGGATCAGGTGCGTTTGTCCAGAATTCATTCTATATACATTGATTTCTTTAGTTTACATTGATCTTTTGATTAATAAATACAAAAAAAATTTCATGCAATATAATAATTATTTCCACGAAGCTGTAAAATCAAAAATAATGAAGCAGCCATGCTTGTGCGGCAGAAAAAAAACCTGTAAATTGAACAGATTTTCACCTCCATTGAACTTGGCTCTGGAAGGGTTTGATCTGATCATAATTATATCATATGTTTATGCTAAGGAAAATCTGATCTTTGGGTATCAAGTTTATTATTTATCAAACTCAATCCTTAAAAAATTTAATCGGTGATTTACAATATGTAATTGAGAGCAGGCTTTCTAGTTATTGTTTAAAAACTGATAGTACTAGAAAGCCGTTTTTACACATTATTGAGCAAATTTTTTAAAGGCTAGGTTCACTAAGTAATAAACTTGATGCTCGTATTCTAATTTTTCCTTGGTAGACTTGTATTAACTTTTTTTGTTTGATTAAATTTGATCTAATAATTCTGAATTAATTTACAGGTTTTCTTTCGCTATTCACTCGTTTACTAAACAATCTGAATCAAATAGGTATCTGTTAGTAAGAATTAAAAAATTCATATCGAATAGTATTGTCAAATTTTTTAATTTGGGGTAATAGCAATAATCTCTAACATATATACAAAATTTGATCCATAACTTAGGTAACTCATCAGATTTATTTATCTTTATGAGTTAGTCTGTAGCTTTGTTATTTATATACTTGTCAGTAAAATTTTTAGACTTTGAAATTGTAAGCACAGGTTTTTTTCAATCTTTAACAGCTGCCCTACCTTGATTAGTGTGTCGGAGGTGCATCAAATGCAACCTGGATTTGTATGAGGAGAGCATCCTCATACATTGCGAATACTAAGTGAAATTTCAATTATATTATATAATTAGAAATTTTACTTTGTATTCGCAGCTGCTAAGAATCGAAAAAAACCTGTGCTGAAATTGTGATCGATTCTATAGATGCAGACTTATTTATGTCACTAGTTACATCTCAATTGTGCTTATTTTATAGACCAGTTTTTTATATAGGACGTAACTAAGTGATGCATAAGTCTGCATCAATAATCGATTCTAATATATATGAGGTTAAAATTTAGGTTTAGGTTTTGGATATTTTGATTTTTTTTTTTTGGGTTAGAATGTAAGAAAATGTTATAAGGTAATTTTAATATGCTCAAGAAAGAAGTTTGGCTTTAATTATTGTTTTGAATAAAGGAATATAGGTATGGATGGGTTTACTAATTCCCCCAACTGGTTATTCTAATTATTCACATATTGGAGTATCTAGTGAAATGGTGAAAATTAGTAAACCTGGTATGGATAAGACTTTAATTTGGCTGGCAAGTATAATAATTATTTGTTCAATTAGATTGTTTAGTTCGTGGATTATACTAATATTATATGAAATTTTGATTTTTTTTTTTATAATTACTTTAGAAATTTGTTTATCATATGGTGTAATCTCCGTACATCCTGTTGCACGAAATATTGCGCGCCATGCTCGCACTTCACGTTCCCGAAACTCATAATTTGATCCATATACCTTACTAAGATGAGTATATAATTCAATAATATTGCTTTTCTGTTGTTTCCAATTTTGAAAGATTTTATACCATTCTTCAGCAGATTTACTAACAGCTTTTTTTAAATATAGATCAAATAAATGTCTCATAATTGTTTTGTTATTCCAATCTGTAAGTGTACATTTATCTGATATTAATGTTTGATGAGAAAACTTAGTGTTATATGCTTCGTCTAATTTTTGTAAGACTATTGAGTGATTTATAGCAAATAAAGTATCGCCTAAGATAGATTTAAGAATTCCAGTTTGTTGCCAAACTGTATTGGGGGAATTATTTTTATATTCTGCAACAATTTGACTATTTTGGTAAATTACAATTGAGAACAAATTATCATCCTTAATACTTTGAAAAAAAACCGATTGCTTTGCTTTATATTTATAAAAAAATGATGATGTATAATTGTGTCCAACTATATTGTGATTCGAATGTGTAATTTTACCCAAAGAACCAACAAAAATTGACAAATTTTCTATTTCAATAATAAAAGGACAAAATATAACGCCTTCTAATAATTTTTGAAATGTTTGGGTTTGTTCTAAACCTAAATATGAAAGGCCTGCAATTTTTGTTTTAGTGCCAAAAACGGCTTGATAAACTGAAGTAATTGCCTGAGAAGAACTTGTAACGATATCACTACTTTGTCCTCCACCTTCACATATATAACCAGGTTGTAAAGGACTATGTATATAACGAACTACACGAATAATAAAAGGTATTTTATTAAGATGTATCATAATTTTAAGTCCTAATCGTATTGGAATTGGATATGGTATATGATTATGATTTTCTTTAGAAAAAACCCACCAATCACGTAAATATGGTCCATAGTGAAGTTCTGACTCAATAGTGCCAGTTGCAATAAGTTCTCCAGGTGTTATATGAATATTTGTCATTTTAATTACTTGAAGAAATAGAGATTTCAAATAAAAAACTTTTTATTAATTAACATAGCGCCATAATTTACTATATAATTTCTATTAATCACATGCGGATCTGCAATTAA